CTATTCATATTTGTGTTTCCTTGCCTGGTCTGTGGTTGTGCCCAAGGATGTTTGCTGAACCAATCTGTACGTGAACTGTGAAATGCTAGATGGTAGGAATCGTATCTTCACTTTTTATCCTTTATCTCCACGCGAGAAGCAGTGTCCTATACATAGAGGCTTTCCTTATTGCACTAATGAATTGTGTTATGGCCATAGGTAGTAAAAGTAATTAGCAATAATGACAATAATAGGCAAAATTTATGAAGCCCTTAGTCTGTGCTAGGCCCTGTCCTAAGTGTACAAAGGCACAGGAATGAAGACAATTAACTAACTCTCTTATGATCCTCATTTCACAGATGAGGAAATGGAAGCTCAGAGAGGTTAAGAACTTGCCCGAGGTCACACAGCTAGGAAATAGCGGAGTGTAGGATTTGAGTGTTGGCACCTAGGAGTCACGTGCTTAGCTACTCTAGGCTGCATCCCAGCCTCTGTAAGAGAGATCCATGAAAAGGCTACCCTGTGTGAAAACAGGAGTGCCTTATTACACATTTCTGTTTTATTTCAAGGGATTTCTTGAAATTCCTCCAAAAGCTTTGGTAGGTAGGCATCATTACTTGCTAAGTAGTAACCACCAGTGTACATGTTGTATTTGATGATTGGCAGAGTTCACGTACAGTTTCTCATCTGATCCCTACAACAATGTGATGAGGTGGCCACTGCCGTCTCCTCTCATAGAAGAGGAATCTAAGGCTCTGAGCGGTTAAAGGAACAAGGCCAAGGTCACCCAGCCTGTGAGGAGCAGAGCAAGGGCTCAAGTTAACATCTATCACTTGAAAAACTGAGGACTTGAGTGTTTCCAAATAGAAAGCTCTTCCGGTGTTACTCAAAAGTCAATAAGATAATCCACGGGAAAGCACTGGGCACGGCTCCTGGAACCAGGTAGGACCCTCATAAATGTTCATTTTGATCATCTTCTCAACACCTCCTAGGAACTGGAATATTTTAGCTGATGACTGCAGCCTGCCTGTTGAGCCTGATGGAAAGATTACACTTTTCATTCTAGTTCATCCCTGGTAATGTTGAAATGATGATCAATCTCCATTATCCCTGGGGTGCCATAGAATGTTAAGAGCTGGAAGGGATTGTGGAGATGAGCTCATCCAGTGCCTGCATTCACAGATGGAGAAATTGAGTCCTAGAGAGGGAAAAAGTCAGAGGGCAGATTTCTCAAGAGCAGGGCTCTTGCACTGTGCCTGGCACATAGCACCTCCCACAAAGATGGGCTTTTACTGAAGAAAAGGGCATCTAGCTTCTTAAAGGCTACAGGAGATAATTCACCAGTTTCCTGAGCTTTGAGCACATCCACCCCACCCCCACACAAAGTACCAAAGTGTTAGAAGCTAGTAACCAGAAAACCGATCATGTGACTTAATTCCACCTCTGCTAAAAGGCTTAAAATGCTTTGGTGAGTAGTCTGAGATTCATAAACATACACTTCAACTCTTTCTCAGAGAATTATTAACCAGCTCCCTCTCCATCAAAACTGGAACTTGAGCAATCAAGGAGAAAAAGAGCTGGCAAGAGAAACGTCTTGAATAAAATCTTTTTTTTTTTATTTAAAAAAATTTTTTTTAATTTATTTTTGAAGGAGAGAGAGAGACAGAGCATGAGTGGGGGAGGAGCAGAGAGACAGGGAGACACAGAATCAGTAGCAGGCTCCAGGCTCTAAGCTGTCAGCACAGAGCCCGACGCAGGGCTCGAACCCACAAACTGTGAGATCATGACCTGAGCCGAAGCCGGACGCTCAACTGACTGAGCCACCTAGGCGCCCCCTGAATAAAATCTTAACACCAGTATATATGATTTCTTGGCACCTCTCTCTTCCCCCCCCCCCCCCCCCCACCTAAGAGTTGGAGGATGAAGGAAAGAAAGAAGTGTTATTGTATAAAACATGAATCAATAAAACTAATCGTGGAAAAGTACACACTCTTTCCACCTCACAAGGTAGGTTCCAAGAGAAAACAGTCGTGTTAAGTTGGAGACGGACTTAAAGACAGAAAGTACTGAAAAGGAAGATGCAACAGAGATGTAACCCTCATTGGTTTTTCCAGAGGGCAGAGACGGGCTGGAAGGACACGACAGTGTGTGGCTGTGATTATCAGCGGTAGCCGATTGCCAACTAATGATTTTGAGAACCTATAATTTATCGAGTTTGTGTCATACCTTACTTGTCTTGCTAACTCACTGGGTACTAATTCTCCGAGGCATGGGACTAGCTTTTATTCCACACGTAAGTCTTGAGCAGCTTTGGCTTGAGGATTTGGGGGTGGGGAGGGATGATGGAGAGAAATGAGATTAGGGTTCGGTCTTGGAACTAAAGAAACAGAAATATTAACCCTCTGTGCTGTTTCTCTGGGCTTCGTGCTTCTCAAGTAAGGCTGAAATGCAGGCCCTGACAACTCACTTGTGGCCACAGCGGCTCTTGGAATGAAAGGGGTCCCCCTCCTCCACAACACGTTTATCAAATTCAAACTATCCTCCACATTCCTTCCTTACACAGCTCAGGCGCACCTATGACGCAAGCCTCAGAGCAAATTCCGCTCAGGAGATCCAGGAAGCTCTGGCCTGGCCCTCCCTTCTAGAAAGGAAAGTCCAAGAGGGATGCCACACCCAGAGGAGGGGAGAGAGGACGTGACAATACCTCCAGGAATGCAGAGCCCACGCAGGTGTGTTGGCATCCACGAACTTCCTTTTGAAAAGGGCCTGATAAATCAGTACGGATAACAGGAATAAAGCTCAGCCAGCCACCCAATAATCGTTCACATTGAACTGGGGCCCTGGCTTCCAGGGCATGGCGACTGGGGAGAGGAGGGTGACAGCTGAGAATAAAGGTTCCTAAAGGCTGTGACAGGTTTTTCTATTCAGCGGTCTTAAAGTGGGTTCCCTGGGTGTCCCTGAGACCTTTTTAGGGGATTTCTCAAACCTAACACGATTTTCACAATACTAACACAGTCACTTCCTCTTGTCACCCTCGTTGTCTCACAGGTATAAACAGTGGTGTTTTCTGAAGGGGCATGACATGTGATGATTATCACCCTGATGACTGTTGGAAGGTGTGCTTTTGTGTTCCTGTGTTTGGACATCGATGAACAGTAAAAGACGTGACACACATAAACAAAATGCTTGGGGGCCTCTATAATTTTTAAGAGTGTTAATGGGTCTTGAGACCAAACTGTGGAGCTGCCCCAGCACAACATCGCACCTCATTTGCAGCGCATGTTGAGTCACATAGCAGGTGCTTCTGAACAGATTAGAGGTGGCAGGCCTTATTACTATTCTGCTTGGGGTGGAATCCTTTCCATCCCTTCTTCTACCCAAAGTGACCATAAAAACCTTAAATTCCCTCACGGACACATGGCGAACCGAACCCCCTCCCCCACCGCCAGGGGGAAAGACGGGCTTCTCACCTTTGAGCCCAGGTGGGGCAAAGTTAGCACGGGGAAACCACACTCCCTCCACGCCGGCCCGGGGCAAAGACCTATCTGGGTCAGGAACCATGCTACCTGCTCAACAGTGAGTTGACGTGGTTGATGTGGTCCCTGGCTCCTCATTGCTTTCGTCCTGGGGCGGGGCCAGATTACTCCAAAAACATGAAAAAAAAACCCGAAACCTGCCACACACGTGCTGGCAAGGATGTACAAGGTGTCAGAAGGGATCTGAGGTAGGTAGATGGTGAGGGGAAGGCCCTGAGGACTCGGGTGGAACCAAGCACCCTAAGCAATTCGTCCTGGCCACGGTTAGGCAGGGTATAACCGTTCCTGCCCCCAGCCCCAGGTGGGCACAGGGGAGGGGTCAACAGCTCTTTGTGAGCCGGTCCCTGGTGGGTCCTTCTGCGGGGGGGGGGGGG